CTTACCTTTGAAATGATAACCAGTCAAAAAGTAGTTCGTTTTTTGGAGGGTTCTTTTTTTGCAGATTTAGAAATTTCTTTCCTTTTTTTTGTATTTTTATAAACTTCGGGTAATCGGTAATGTTTATTATGTACGGATCGTGCGGGGAATGCAAAATAGAAAACGAGGGAGTTAGTTGCATACATGTTTTTTCAAAAGATTCTCTTTTTTTTTTTTGGTGTAAATGTTAAGAAAGATTCTCTTTCTTTCTTACACTTTTGTATTTTCGTCATTGTAATTCCTTAAAATTGCAGGTTGACCCCGTAATTTCTCTAATTTCTTTTGTATTTATTTCTCTGATTTTGGGCTTCTCACTTATAAGCCCATGACAGTTTCTACTCCAAATATAAACCGTCATTTCTTTGTAAACACAGTTGGAGATTTAGATAACAGTTGAAATAGTAGTATTAGGTTATTTAATAAATATAAATGTGTCAATGGTTGTAACTTGTAATGTTATCTTTCTATTTAAGAATAATTCTTCTCTTCTTTAATGATTTTTTAAAATCATTTTCCGAGTTTTCAAATCTTTGTAGATATGATTGAGCAATTAGTTTCTCGTTCTTTGGTAAAAAAAGGATATCGACTGTATTTTATGATCAAATCTCCATATATGGACTAACACGATCTTAAGCATGACCAAAAAAGATGTGAAATATCAAATCTCTATATTTGGACTAACATAATCTTCAGCATATATCAACGTTTGGAAATATCAATGTCGTTTTCAGAGTGAATGAGTGAACGATAGACTCAATATTGTTATCTAAGAGAATTGTCTCTAATCTGAACCAATTTGTATGGTTTTTCAATTGTCTTTTTGCCTACATGTAAGACATAGTACAAATAGTCATAATAGAGATAAATATTTATTTATTAACGAATAGAAACATTATTATGTCAATGGAGTGCTTGATATCGGTCTATATGACTAAAATGGCTTTTAAGACCGATAATTTGTGTTATATGTTTTTGGTTAACAATTCTAAAGAGTGACATATCTTTGTTGCGGAGTTAAATGATTTTGGATTTTTTAAAGGTTTTTTTTTTATTCGTTTTATCCCTCATTGTATTCAGGGGGTGGCTCAATAAATTTAGAGGCCTTATGCAAATTTTTAAAAAATTGGCTCTTTTATTCATAAATTTTTAAAAATTAGCCCATATACATAATTTTTTTTTTTAAATCGGCC